TCCAGGCTGGAGGCTACGCTGCTGCACCGCGTACACGCTGGAACTCACAGCCAAAGGGCAACAAAACAGCGGATCTGCGACAAAGACCCATCAGCCCTTTGGAAGGCGATCTGATAAGGCACTCACACACCATCTCCAACAGGTACTAGGGCACAGGAGGAGATGAGCCCAAGTCCCAGGGATGCTGGCCTCTGCTGACCATTAGCTTCGGGATTAATATCCCTGCTTGTACTCAAGCCACCACAGATCCCTAGCAGTTCCATTCTGCTCTGGAAAGTCACATCTACTTGCTCCAATTTTATTGCCACTAGTAGTTGTTGAGGTGGATTCTTTTTTTCCTATTTTCTACATCCGAAAATGTTGACTACTTCTTATAAACCTAGATAATAAAGAAAAAAAGGGGGGTGGGTGTGGTGGTGTTCATGAGAAGCTTAGTTCTTACCATTTTTACAGGTTGCTTATTCACAGCATCTCACACTGAGGACCTTTAAACCAGTATTTCAGCAAGTTTTACGTTAAGGGAGTAGAAAAGCTGATTTTTCTGCGATGATGAAGTAACTCCAAAGAGTTAAGAATTCACAACATCCTTAAATTGTGTAAAGATCAATGGCCTTTCAAATCTTGAAACCTAATTGTTGTTGTGTTTTGTTTCTTCCCCACCCCCCCAAACTCCCCATTGGATCCAACTGAATAATGACAAACTTGCATTCCCACGGAGGAAAACCGCTTTGAAAATCTGACCCAAGCGATTAAATACAAACAGTCTTAAAATTCACATTTATAAGACTTCTAGTAACTCCCACCCCCTTCAATATTTCTCTATGAATTCAGCACATACAGAAACTCACTTATTTTATGTACTTTTAACAGAATCAGTTTTCATTCAAATACAAAGAACATCCCTGCTTTAAAAGAAACGCCCACCCCCTCCCCAAATCTATAATAGCATCAGAAATTAAGCCTTGGGAGAAAAAAACCTGCATTAAGCTATAGAGCTGCCTAAACATACTTCATTAACACTTTGGCATATACATAAAATGACATGGGTAAAGAACAAACCATTCAAAAACCAAACTACCCTTCTTCACGCCACCCACAAGTCTTGGCTTTAATTCAGCAAAACCCAATGATCTAAATAGTGATTAAGTTACTTTTTCATCTTCTTACTGGGAAGGAAATACTGTTTCTAAAGTTGCCCTTGCTAGAGCTGGATGCTGAAGTTCCACCTTCCACATGCAATTGACCCAAAGTTGCTTTGGTCTGGGCACCTCTTTTAGCCTCCAGCCGAGCCCAGAGGCACACACGACATCTGTCACAGTCAGTATCAGTACTCAGAGCACAGTTCGGTGCCAGAACCTCTCTCACATCTCTGCCGCTCCCATTAATGTTTTCAGTTCTTTCTGGATTTCAGCATGTTCAGGTGAACTTTGGAGCAGATTTGTGTATTCTTCCAGAAAACTTCAGGAGTCTGCTACACACAAACAGGTTTCCCAGAGAAGCTGTGGATGCCCCACCCCTGGAAGTGTTCAAGGCCAGGCTGGATGAGGCTTTGAGCAACCTGCTCTAGTGGAAGGTGTCCCTGCCCATGGCAGGGGGGTTGGAACTAGATGATCTTTAAGGTCCCTTCCGACCCCAACCATTCTATGATTCTATGATTTAACCAGCCCAACTGTGGAAGGAAGTGTTTTATCTCTGTGGCAGACCTAAGAATCTGTATGGGCTCCCTCATCATTAGAAAGTCTTTTTTTAAACCATGACTATGCTTTATATAATTAGTCAAAATTAAGGAAGAGCAAGGACTGGAAAATCAATTATTTACATTTCATATAGTTAAAGAGGAAGTTTAGGTCTGACAATCAACCAGTGTAACAATGTTGTTACAAAGATGTAACAGAGATGTTACAATTAGCAGAGAGGCAAAACACACACATACCTTATTCTGAGTGGACAGAATTGCCCAACATGGGTCACCATCTCAAGTAACAAAAGCCAGCAGAAAGGTACCAAAAGGTCAGTCAGAAAAAGAAAAAACAAGGTATAAATGACAGGGGCTGTAAGCAAATGTCAAGTGAATAAGCCACAAGGACAGGACACCACTAACTTTTGATACTCAGACCCAAGCCAGCAGGTTCCCAAGACTTGGTCCTTGATCACATAATGTACTTGCAACCCATGGTGGCACGATCTGCAGACAAACGGTCACACGCAAAATCTGCTTGAGATTAAAAAGCAACGTTAAATTTTCACATGGTGGTGCTCAGCAGGACCTGATCAACAACAGGGAGAGCTCGCACAAATGCGTTAGTTTCAAGTTTTATTTTTCACGCTGGTGACACACCTAGCCTCTTCTCAAGAGGCAGCATCTGTAAAGCTGTTACAAACACATTTTGTACTCTAATACACCACAGATTTGGAAAAAGAACAAACAAAGCACAGGTGTCACACTGCACTTGGGCATACTGAGTCTTAAATTACAGATTATTTAGAAATCCTCTGATTTTACAGATACATTGCATCGGCCATCATTCAGCCATCATGCACAATATTATTTTTCTGACAGTCAACACTGATTTTGGAAGCTTTCTTGCTGTAAATGGTACATTTTCCAATTTAAATCACTTAACGGATATTTACATAAGTGTGCAAATCGCTTTGAAGGATAGAAACAAACACTAACACATAATACACAGACAGCTCCTTCTATAGTTAAACATTTACTAAAAGGCAATTAACATTCCTATCACACTTTCTTTACCTAAAATAAGAGAATAAGTTATATAAAATAGACCATCTTATTTTCAGACACATCCATTTCCGCAGATTCGGTCTTTGCAGCAACATTGCAATCAAAGATTAAGATTTTACTCCTAAGATTCAGAGAAGCCCCTTTCAATTCAGTGGCAGCTTAACAAGTTTAGCACGAGTTAATTTTGTCCCAGATTTTCCACACTTGGCACAGGGGAAAAAAGAAGAAAGCTGGGGGAGTGGAGGAAATGGTCTTTATAATTTTTCTGGCAATATCAGAAGTATGCTTTAAGAATCTAATGCATAAATTTTAATTTTTCTTTTGAGGCCATGTTAAACATTAGAAGCACAGTTTAAATAAAGTCAGCGAGTTCTTTCGCAGAAGTACACATGGCTCACATACCTCCTCAGATAAGTGCAACTGTTCATACACACAAAAGAGTAGGCTCCTTGGGACCATTCAACAAAACTGATTTCAGAATTGGAAGCAGCAGTAAATCACCTAAGTGTTCCCAGTGCTCCTACGTGTGCATTTTGTTTTTCTGCTCGTGATAAAGACTCTCCATAAAAAGTGCATGGTCATCTTCATGAACAAATCCAGAAGGGAGAGGTTTAATAAACTAGAATGAGCTGCTCCAGTGTTGGAAAAAAGAAGTGTTACAGAAAAGTCTCCAAATCCATCCTTCACGTGTATTCGTAATCACGCTTAGAAAAAAAGCAATTCACTTCCTAAAATTTCACTTATTTTATAGAAGTAAGCCTTCTATATACATTATTAACAGCAAAGAGAAGTTACCTGTCAGACAGTGAAGAACAACAGGTGTAGTCTCAAATGGCTTTAAAATCCAAAGTGATTGTTACATAATGCAAAAGAGATAAAACTGTTTTTTGAGTACCCACTAAATAACATGACTTTTACAGCAGCCACACCTGCAAACCACGCTGTAGCTTGTGCTACTATTACCCACCCCAAGGACAGTGAGTATCAACCCCCTAAGAGTTTACCTTCATCACAATTACATCTGACAACCCTGATGTCATGTCAGACATACACTTGGTATTTTTGAAGATGTCCAATTCCTTAACGTGGCAGAAACTGTACCAACGCTTAACATGAGGCTTTTGGTCTCTTGTTTAGTGAACTTTGGGCATCACATATCACACACAAATCCCTGCTGGCTTGCAAAGTGATTTCACCCTAGTGCAGATGAGGTTCTTCTGAAGAAACAGACGAGTACAACTTCTAATGTTGTCAACTTTAAAGCATAAAATAGTCAAATAAGTTTAAGACACTACAGAATCTTGCTAAACACGTGATGACTTGAAACCAAGTAGAAACAGAGAAGACCCATTAAAATTTTGCTACTTTGGATTCTGAACTAGTTTGAAAAATGTTGTTTGTAAGAGACAGCTGTTCTACGCTTTGAAAATACGAAAGAATGAAATGTCTTTGTTGACTAGCTTGTTGATTAGTAAACAAACACTTAGAATGCTCATGAACCCAAAGATATCATTGAAACATTCCACCTAAGATTTTGTTAAACACTGTCTTCAGACCGTAAAATATTCAACCCACATTACCTGCTACCTTCGGTTGCTTTTTTGGTTATGGGATGTTTCAGAAACACTAAGAAACGTTGCCCGCTCCCCTTCCATTCCCAAGGTGCACATTACAAACACTATGCACACATTTATTTCTAAAGACTTCAGGTCAACGAAGCCCTTCAGGTGAAAGATGCGGGTGTACTTTTAAGCTTGCGAGATAGCTTCAAACTAGTTGAATTAGTATCTTCCACCTCCACATGGATACTGCTTGCAAAGAATAAAGTATTAAAATAATATTCTGCAGTGGAGTAAAACCATGTTGAAAATAAACTGAATGCTCCCTCTAGTGCTTATACTAGTGGAAAACCCTGCCTGGCAGAGTCTGCTTTAAATGATGTTAAACAGGAGATCAATAGCCAGGTGAATTATTGTATCTTTAGCTCAGAAAACAATCACAAATGTATTACTGGACCAAAAAAAAAGTGTCAGCTGTTGAAATCCAGCATTTAAAATTTTGTACCACTCCCCCTACTCCAGTGCTTCTGGGGTTTTGGTTTCTTTAAAACTGTGCTTTTAGTAAAAATTTCTCTCAAATTTTTCCCCGGCATCTGAAGGCAGGGCCCTGAGGAAGCACCTACTGGATCAGGAATGAAGTCCACAGATGTTTCAAGATGATAGGTTCAGTCATGCTTTTCTCTCCTGTATTATACCCAGAAGCTGCCAAGTTAATATTAGCATTCCCATAACACAATTGCAATGAAGCTCTGGTAAATCTGGTACCTTTGGATATGCTCAACATCACAAATAAGTCAGATATTTAAGACAACCTATGTCTGTAGCTAGCACAGTCCACCAGAATATTCATCCTCCTCTTCATCAGCATGAGACCCCACAGCAGCTGGTCCTCTTGCTTTGTCTTGTGCAGCGTTCGGCGATTTCTTCTTGATTCCACCTCCTGGGACCACCAAGGTGAGACCAAGCTTGGCATACTGACAATAACAAGGCAAGTTTTAATTTCTGTCCTACCCTAGAAGTAAAACCTTGTTGAATTACACTGCACAGAATTGACTAATGCTTACAATAAACAAGCAGGTAACGCTGCATACAGAAAACAGATTGATGCTGCTTTCAGAGTGTATTTTTCCCGCTAAGAAAAAAAAATGAATCAATATTAAGCTTATTTTATCTCAAACACTCCAAGAATGGGATGCGAGATCTGTATTGATACTGCTTATTATAGAATAATTTGGCAGCATCCTACAGCTCCTGTAGTTCAAGCCTTATGTTAAAAAATAATTTTTCAGCATGCAGCTCTGCACACATTATCTAGTAACAGTTCACATAAACAGTCTTACAAGTGTTTTTCAGTAAGATGGGTACCTTAATTTTTATTATTCAACATAAAGTGAAATTAATCAATACCATTACGAAGTTTGGCATGGATAGAATCATAGAATGGTTTGGGGTGGAAAGGACCTTAAAGATCATCTAGTTCCAACGCCCCTGCCATGGGCAGGGACACCTTCCACTAGACCAGGTTGCTCAAAGCCACATCCAGCCTGGCCTTGGAGACAGCCAGGGATGGGGCAGCCACAACATCTCTGGGCAACCTGTTCCAGTGCCTCACCACCCTCTCTGTGAAGAATTTCTTCCTGATATCTAATCTAAACCTGCCTGATTTCAATTTATACCCATTACCCCTTGTCCTATCACTACAGGCTCTTGTAAAAAGTCCTCTCCCAAAAAGGAGAGGATGGATGACTCCTTTACACATTTCCTATCCTTATACTTCCTACAATTTACAAGTACAAAAAAAAAAAAAAGTGATGAAGGAGACAACACACAACTACTTTCAAAAAAACCCCACCAACTTTCACTAAATAATAACTTGCTAAGTAAGGAGTAAACACCAAAAATACCATTCAACAACGCCATCGTGTAGTCATATGCTGTAATGTTTATGCATGCGAATCAGCTATATTTCTGAGATAAAGCATAAGTGAACTGTTCTGGCCCATAAAGAACCAAGGAGAAGGCAACTGAATTTTGGTCAACTAATCAAACCTGGCAAATCCACAGTAAACTTCACCTAAGCCTTCCCATCATCTGAAAGGAATAATGTTGTGGGACTATGTATTCTTTTACTTTGCTGGCTGCCAATGTAAAGTTCACAGGCACAGGGTAGGATGACAGAGCAAGTCACAATAAATTCACAGACTATGCTCTGTGTGTGCTCTTATTTTCCTCTACTAGAAAAATCTCTCCCAACCTGAACAAGCAAAAGGGTTATAAAAACAAACCGTAGGAACTGCCCACTTACGTCATTGTCCATGTATTTGAAGAGTGGCAAATTACACACTTCAGAAACTTGATCCTGATCTTGCTGGTCATACCCTTCTAAAAGTTGCTCCAGTGCTGCACAGTCTTCACTTCCATTAAATCCTGGTATACTGAAGGAAAATAAGAGTTAATTTAGGGCGTTTCAGCAATTGACACTCTGCTAATACCAGAAGAGCAAGTGCTTTAAAGAATATGATGGACTGCTTATTCTACAAAACTGTAACCACTGTGATTTTTCCAGGTACACAGATCATACCCATAAAATTTTACTTTCTAGAATATTAGCTTACATGCTGAGAATAACACCACAATCACAGTCAAGACAAAATGACAATATAAGAGCTTTTCAATATTTCCTGACTAGTCAATGAACTCTTCCTCTACCTTAACCTACAGAAAAATTCTGTAATGAGTTTCTCTATAAAATACAAATTAAAGACTTGGAAAATATGAGCAAGATGTTTAAGGATTGATCTCGAAAAAAACTTTCTAAAAATAAAGTAACAATTTAACTAGAACACATATGTTCAAGTCATTTCACTAAAAACACAGTTTAAATAAAATATGTTGTTTCAGTATTTTGTTACTCTTTCCTAATGAAAGGTGAAATGGAGAGTTGCTGGGAAAGCCTCTGGAACCAGGGTTAAACACTAATCCAGATTTTGACACCAGACTTTTCTCCTGGATGTGTAAAGAATGCCTTTTTCATTTCAGTGTATTCAACTGGACTACCTTCTGCTTTCTCAATTATCTTTCAGTTCAATCAGCTATTTAAAAAAAAAAGTCACTGCAGGTAGAACTCTTGCTTTTCTTCCAATGCATGACAAGGGCAAGATCTCCCAGATGAGCATAACGAGAAACATAGTCATTCACATGCTGCAAACAAAAATATTTA